CAAGAATGAGAATGCAAGTTCATCCGCCACTAAGGAAGCCTCGGTAGTCTATAAAGAAGTTGAAACAGAACTCATAGCTACACGTGATGCATATCTCGTTTTTTCTCTCGGTCAATCAACCAGCCCCATCCAAGAATGCCACCTATGTTCCTGATTCTCTCCCTTATCTGCAATTAAGAACAGATACTGTCATTTGGAAGAAAAATGCTGAAATTTTCGAGTCCGTATATGATTTTTGCATGCAATTCAAGACAGTCCTTGAAGCTCATGGTCTTTCGTTGGATGAAAGCTGGGAACGTCTTCTCCCTATGTCAATGAATAAGGAAGATAGATCTTGGTTTGCTGAAGCTTTGAAGAAGAAACAACTGAATTGGAGTCAAGCTGAGAACATTCTGATGGATCATTTTGATACACCATATCGTAAATTTTTGATGATGGTTAAAGTCTGGAAACTGAAGCAGGCCCCTGGTGAGCCCGTACGTGAATATGCTGCCAAGTTCCAAAAGCTTAGAAGACAAGCAGGTCTTGAAGATGGTCTTCCTTTGTTTCTTTCGTTTTGGTGCTCGCTTCTGGAAACGGTGCGTAAACCATCCTCTGTTGCTCTCTCGTCACGCTATGGCACAAAGCTTCCGGATAACGTTGAGTCAATCATTGGCATTGTTGTTGCGGCTACGAACGACTCGGACATCTACCTAATGGAAAGCTTTGGTGAAAACAAAGAAAGTGAACGTTCTCTAAAACGTCATTCCAACTACGCGGGATCAGTCAATAAAGATTCTTTTGAGTCTAATAAGGCACCCAATAACGTCAATCAATGTAAATACTGGAATAAGCCTTGGTATCGTGGTCATCGTTGTGAAGAATTTTTACAAAGAAAAAAGCAAAGAATTTCACGCATGCCTAAAAGAAGAAACCATGTTCCCAACACCCCGGACAATCTGAATTCCGACGAAGAAGATGAGAATGAGAAAAGATTGCTGGCGTTATCTCTTGCATGTAAGTCTTACCCTAAAAAAGATGGTGTAACAAGAGATTTTAAAAATAAACCAACTCATGATATAATCTTTCCTATTCTTATAAATAACTCTATCAGAACTCATTCACTTTTGGATACTGGTGCCTCGATTAGTTCTGTAGACTATAATTTTTGTTTAACTCATAAAATAAATATAAATTTCATCAATCACATACATAAAGATCTAATTACGAAAACAAATAAATATGAATACTATATAAGAGCATTTGACAAAGAAAGTTATATTAAAAGAATTGGAACATGTGTATTAAGCATAACATGTAATAATAAGACCATTGAACGTACTTTTGAAGTTATGAATTTAACCGATGATGATGAAGATATATATCATATCAGCATTGGCACTGACTATATGGCGTCCTTGGGTTTAGGCATTTATGGTTTACCTGTGAACTTTGACGATCATGATTCTATTGGGCAAATGATGGAATCCGAAAGACGTTACAATAACACTAGTGAACTCCTTGAATCAATTGAAGCAGATAACAAACTATTAGAGAATTGTCCTGCATGCGAACCTGATGAATTTAAATCAGCTATGGATTATATTCAACCATATATTAATGCCAACCAAAATATTGCAAAAGGATCATTTTGCACAATTCCAGAAAGTGTTGTATCACTAGACACTCCTCCAAATGTGACAGCCTACAAGAAACCATATCCTGTTCCTTTAAAATGATGGAAGTTGTTGACGAACAAATAAAGGAATGGTTAAATAATGGCATAATAAAGAAAGCGCCTGCCAATACGGAATGGAATACACCCTTAACCGTGGTAAAGAAAACTGATGCTAAAGGTGAAGTAAAAGGATATCGAGTCTGCCATGACCCAAGACATATCAATAGTCTCTTAAAAACAATCGACCGTATGCCTCTACCTATCATCAGTGATCTGTTTGAAGATTTAAAAGGTGCCTCTATATATTCAACACTAGACTTAAAATCTGCATTTAATTCTTTAAAATTAAATCCTAAAGATGCACACAAACTGAGCTTCACATGGCGAGGTGTTCAATATCAACCCATAGGTACTGTATTTGGTATAAAGCATGTCAGTTCTCAATTCGAAAGAACCATGAGCATCGCTCTCGATGGGCTATCCTTTGTACGATTTTTCGTAGATGATATTGTATGTGCAAGTCAAACAGTTGAAGAACATAAACAAAACATAAAACAAGTCATTCAACGCCTTACTGATGTAAACCTGAAATTAAACCCTGATAAATGTAGATTCTTTCAAAGTGAGATTTATTTATTGGGTTTTCATATCTCTCCCAAAGGTATCAGTATGGATCGTCGTAAGCTGGCCAATGTTTTAGAATTTCCCAAACCTAAAAATGGCAAAGATATTATGCGCTATTGTGGACTGATCAACTACTTTCGAACTTTGATTCCGAATGTATCGACTATCATGACTCCTCTTGACCCATTGCGCCATGAAAAATCACTTGACAAATTATGGACTAATCAACATCAACAAGCTTTTGACAATCTTAAAAAAGCTCTTTTAAATGATACTGTTCTCTCATATCCTGACATGAATGCTCCCTTCTCTATAAGTTGTGATGCATCACTCACTGGAATTGGGTCTGTATTGTATCAAGAAATTGATGGTAAAATAAAGTACATATCTTTTATTGCAAAAAGCCTGTCTAAAAGTGAACGAAAATATTCTGCCACGAAACGAGAATTGCTTGCTCTAGTCTTCTCTCTAAAACGCTTCCATAAATACGTCTACGGCTCTACATTTACCTTGTATACAGATCATAAAGCCTTAACTTACCTACATACTCAACGCGTTGCTAATCTCATGATGATCTCATGGATGGACACCATTCTACAATACGACTTTAAAATCGTTCATTTGCCGGGTATTGCCAATATCCTTCCGGATGCCTTATGTCGTCTCTTTGAAACCGATTATGAACCGTCAAACGAACTGGGTGGGGATAAATCCATCATGAGAAGCAGAGTTGCACGCAAAGTACAAGAAGAACTGCCAAAAGTTGAAAGTGGTGAATACTTTACACCTCCAACACAAGAAGAACGTATGAAACTATTGTCATATGAACATAGTAAAGAACACTTTGGTGTCGAAGCGATATTACAAGCATTAAAAAGAATCGGTATCTACTGGCCAAACTTAAAAAAAGATGCAAATGAATTAATACAAGCATGTGTTCCTTGACAACGCCAAAACATCATACAAAAAGGATATAACCCATTAAGGCCTGTCTTAGCTACTCTTCCTGGTGACAGTTGGGGTATTGATCTAGCAGGACCATTCACAACATCTATAAGGGGAAACCACTATTTATTAGTCATGATCGATATAGCTTCCAAGTTCTACATTTTAAGAGCTATACCTGATAAATCTGCTATAAGTGTGGCCACTGAAATCCTTGATGTCATTTGCACCTTCGGACCTATGCGTAAGCTTCAAAGCGACCATGGATCTGAGTTCATCAATAGCCTTGTAAACAGCATAAAAGAAAACTTGGGATTCAACCACGCATTAATTTCACAATATCACCCTAGGGGAAATGGTGCAAGTGAAAGAGCTGTACAATCTGCCGTTAAAACTATAAAGAAACAAATAAATGGTAACGTCGCGGAATGGGACATGAAGGTGGCACCTACCCAGTTATTCCTTAATAGTAAATATAATGTTCGTACGAAAAGCACACCGTTTTCCTTAATGTTCGGTAGAAATCCTAATGACTTTGAAGATTTTAGCAAAGAAAAGGACAAGCCAACTTCAGATAAAATAAATAAGGAATTACAAAATAAAATAAAATTTATGACTGAAGTGGTCTATCCTGCTGTATACGAACAAGTCAAACGCGTCACTGATAAACAAAAAGCCATATTTGATAAAAGCCACAAAATGATCGACATACCAGCAGGATCAACAGTAATGATTTTAATAACTGACAAACAAAATAAACTTGATCCACATTATAAAGGATTTTATAAAATAGTCAGAAAAACAGCTGCTGGAACATATGTACTGAAAAATGAAAAAGGTTTTATAGAACCCAGAAATTATCCTCCATCCTTATTAAAAGTAACATCAGCTGATATTATGCCTGAAGACGACATTTTCTATGAAGTGGAAGCTATTATTGGTCACAAGAAAGATCCAGAAAATCAATACTTGTATAGATGCAGATGGTTAAATTATGATGATTCGCATGATACATGGGAACCTGCCGATAACTTCACTGATCCAAAATTTATCACTGAATATTGGAGAAGAATAGGTGAAATCCCTGAAAGTATTAAAGCAATTAACAAAGCAAACAAGAAAACATTGAAAGCTGTAAAAGATCAAAGAATCACTCCCAATCATGAACCAGTAACAAGAAAAAGATCGGCAGGATTAAGTAAAGATTGTAACAACTCCTTCAACAAAAGGAGCAAACGATCTGATAAGTAAATTTTGCCGGTATTAGTCAATACCTGGGTGGGGATAATGTGATGATCTGACTTACTTCTTGATAAAAACCCTAATAAAAATAACATCAGATACACTTACATCATACATCTAACACTAAAATATTAATATCCCAGCATCAATACTTTATAAAGCAAATACACCTCTTTAGTCTATGTACTTCTTTGACTAAAATAGTGTAAGAAGACACTGCACTAATTTAGTACAATTCCATTATGCAATAATTTTATATTTTAAATTCAGACATCTTATATATATCCTCGACTCATAAACTAGATAATCTCTAATTCTCTTTTAACTGAAATAAAGCATACCAACAGTCTCAAAGTATTCCTACTTTTGTTTTATTTCCTCTTGTTTGAATTTTTACTATCCAAAACACCACAATCGTTTAAAGACTCATTTGATAGTCCATTTGGTAGAGGATTGTCTTCGATTTGCTTCTCCTGTGCTTATCGCAACTGAAAAGAACGAGCAATTTAACAAACGCATTAGGGCAATTGTCATGAAGACCAACAAACAAAACCCTTCTCGTGATTTGGCTCTTATTAACGTCGTGAGGTAAAGCTGAGAAGTATTGCGATGGGTCTTGTTTGGGATAACGATATGAAAACTCGTGGTAGTCTGGTCAAAGCGTTGTTCGATAGGTACAGTGAGGACATGTACTATTCAGCTAATCGGGAATTCGGCAGTACTGAATATATTGCTCGAAAGAAGATTGCTTTGAACATGACGGCTATTCTCGATGTTGACTTGGATTCTCTTGGGGCGCGTCGTCTGCTTGGAAAGGTCGTAAAACGTCGCGGCGATCAGGCTATTGTTGAGGTGCATGAACTTGTTCCCAGGCCAGCCTTCGTGATTCACGATGACAGTAGCCTCATTTCTGTCTATCAAGCTGACGAAGGTGGTAATCTCCACACCAAGAAAACGGAAGAAATCTTGGACTTGCTGAAGTATAAACTGACTGTGGTGGAATTACTTGACATGTCTCAGGAAACTGAGATTGACACTGTCAAGTATTCTCTTATCAACAAGTGCAAGTTAGGTACTTTCTGGTGGCTCCATAACACTAATCGTTATTTCAAAATGTTAGAAAATGAAAGAAACTAATCATTTTGTTTTTTTTACATGCCCTTTTTTCAAAAAAAGTAAAAGTCTCTTCCATTTTGTTATCCAATAAAAATGCTTAGCTGCACGAATCGCTATCCTGACCCCCATAAAAGACGCTAAAGTAGTTTTCAAGGTACACAAAACCATCATACAGTTGTTTATTTTGTAACATCTGGCCTTCGATCACGTATTTTGTTTTTTCGCCCAATCGCAAAGTTTTATTTTTTTTAAAAAAAATTCTGACACGGGAATTTACTTTTTGGTGCAGAATTTAAGAAATATTTAAAGTTTTCAACTCGTTGTGTACCTCGTTGACTCTTTCAAAATTTCTTCTGGTTCGAAAGGGCAGGGGCTCCTGAAAATCATCGTCAGAAAAGGTAGAGATGTTTTCGTTTGATAAAAGCATTGAAACAATAAAAAGTTCAGATAAACGTACCGGGATTGGGATGGAAGTAAAAAGGTACAATTTATTAATGCTTTGACAGAGCAGTCCCGCCAAAATTTCAAAATTTAAGTGTAATCAAATCCGCACTTTCATAGGGCAAAAAAGGCCAAAAAGAATCGAGGGGGTGAAAATAAGAAAAGAGGGGTGAAAATAACAATCCCTTATAAGGTCAGATAATTCTGTGTAGGTGCTCTCAAGGTAAAATTCGGAATGGTGATCGAGCCTTTTTTGGGAGTGTACCCCATTTCTTAAATTAGACAATAAAATAAAATTCAATGAATCAGGTGATGACGTGACAGCTTTTCACTTTCGAATCTACTAAAGGACCAACGTGATTTTATTAAATCAAAGAAAATAAAAAATAAATATTTCCTTTTCGCTTATCTTAATTTTTTTAAAGTACCTATTTAACATGAACCCAATTGACGAAACTTTCTTCGACATGATGCAAGAACAACTTGGATGGAAGATGACGCTGAACATTTCGAAGACGAAGATCAATATTTCGATGCCTTGGTGGACGAAATCAGTGCAATGGACGAAGAGTACGGTTTGGAAGAGCAAATGCTTGAACAAGAGGTAGCCATTGCCGAAGAGCGCGTTGTTGCAGACTTTGCCCGCACCCAAGGCAACCAAGATGTCGTTTCCTTGTTTGAACTTTGTATCAGGGAAACAATTTTACATGCAACCGCTCTTGTCAACTATGACATTTTTTATTATATTTTTATAAGCAGCCCTTGGATGATGACCAGAGAAGTCCACAGAAGGGTTGTTAGAACCGAGCGTATGGACATGTATGAAAGTTACTGGACAATCATGCACCCTAATCTGTCAGATGATCGTAACAGGCCGCCACAGTTATAGAGCCCATTATCGCGTTAACAAGAGTACCTTTTAGTGGCTCGTCAATCGTTTAAGTAGATGTTCTGCTTATCTTGGATCAATTTTGCGAGGTGGATACTCTGTGGAAGTCCAAGTTGCGTGTGTGCTTTGGAGATTTGCCAACGCCCATTTTGGTTATCGCATTGCTAAAACACATCTTGGAGTAACTGCCGGATCGTTCAATAATTTCACAAACAGATTTATTGATTCCATGTTGGAGATTACTCCCGAAATTATAACGTGGCGTATCGACGACAGAGATAGAGCGTTATACAATGCTCGTGAGTTTTCAGAACTTGGTGGACCTGATGCCACGAGACTTTCTGGTGTACTAGGTGCGATTGATGGCAAGCTGGTCGTCATTAAAAAGCCAGCAATTAACGGAAACGCCTAGGTCGATAGAAAGAGCCACGCATCTATAAACTTAATGGTCATATGCGATGCCCGTACTCGGTTTATGTACGTAAAAACTGAGCATTCTGGTAAGTTCGTATGGAAGGATAAACATGATATCGCAGCTTACCGTTTGTTATTATATTAAGGACAGAAACCATGTTGCCCGAGTGTTTACTAGCAGTGTGATCTATCATAAACTTTTGTTTGATGCGGCCAGATGGTCTCCCGCAAACACTTGTATTTTGGGAGTTAAACTCATTAATCATACCATAGTGTACAAATTATTATTGATGTGACCTAGATTCGGCTTACCCTTTTCTGCCAAACCTCATTGTTTCATTTCATGGCCGACGTGAAAGCACTTCAGAAGAAAAGATTTTCAATGAAATCTTTTCTAGTTCTCGCATAAAAATAGAACATGCATTTGGTGGACTCACATCCCGGTGGAGATTCCTTTGGAAGCATTTGTATATGCTTAGTGTTGATAGAATGGCCAAAACTATCATATCTTGCTGTGATTTACACAACATTTGTATAAATCAAAATGACATTGAAGAGGCAGTGCTGGATGGAGGATTAGATTTCGAGGGTTTTGTGGATGCAGATCGCCGAAACCAGTATGAAAACGAGGTGAATTTTGAACCTCCTCTTCCTTTTGATGGTACCAGCGCTACCATCAACGCAGCCGGGATGCGCCGTCTTAAGGCAATGTCTATCTTAAGAAGAAACGATATCATGAGGGGAACAGATAGACTTTCATAGTTTTCAAAAGGTGTTAATGAATTAAAAATTTTATTTTATTTAATTAATTATTGTTGTCAGTAGAAGATGAACCATTAAGATTGGTATCAGTATCACCTCTTCGAATGGCTGCGAATCTATTCAGGATAGTCTCCATATCAGACATACGTCTACGTCTATGCTCTTCCATGTCAGCTTCTCGTCTACTTTTGCTTCTTCGAACATAAGGTATCTCTCTCTGCTCTCTTGTCGCCGTCTTGCTTGCATATCTTCCAATGCAATTTGTCGATTAGGACTGATACGTTGCAACATGTTACCAACATCGAGAAGTCTTTGTTCTCGATCATCCCTTTGCGATGCTGCCATGCGATCCATCATCTCTATACCAAGTTGGCGGGCACGTGCCATATGCTCGTCTGACAACTGACGAGCAGCTTCAATAGGATCAGGAGTTGATGAAGACTGCTCACCATAAGTTCGACTATTTCGCGATGTACGGGTAGATCTTGGAGGAGGTGGTGCAGATGAATGTGGAGGTCGAGGAGGTGAATAAAGGTAGAGGTGGAGGTTTTGCGGATGTATATGGAGGTGGAGGTGTGGATGAAGGTGGTGGTGGAGGTGTTGCGCCTGTCGATGTTGGTAGTGCTGCGGATGCTGATGTAGGTGTTGGTGTTGGTGTTGGTGGTTCGGTTGTTGGTGTTGAGGTTGGTACGGCTGTTGGTGTTGTGTGGGTGTTGGTGTCGGTGCTTTTGTTTGTGTTGGTACTGGTGCTGATGCTGGTGATGGTGCTGGTGCTGTTGTTGGTGGGGGAGGTGCCGATGCTGATTCAAACAATGATGGCACTGCAGGTCCTTCTTGTTGGTAGAATCTCTAGGAGGATATCGATCAGCAAATGCTTTCTGAATTACAAGTTGATCAACTTCTGTAGGTCAAAAGTATGTTGTTTCAGGACCATCGGATCCAATAGCATTCATCAAATTGTCGTCGTTGAATCGTCTGTAAGACCGAATACCACTCTCTTGCATGTTGATGCTTTCGTAAATCACTTCAGGTTGGATGCTTGGATCATCCTGAGTAATCTTAGCAATTTCCTCGTAGTACGGCATGTTTGGAACAGTTCCACCAACTCCGGTTTCTCTTGCTGCATTTCTTACTCTGGTAAAACGCTGCTTCATGTCTGCCCACTTTCTTTGCATGCTTGTCTCACTAAAGTTTGTCCAAAAAGCCGTGATTACATCGGTGGTAGCATTTTCAGCTAACTTTTCCTTCAGCAAAGCAGCCGACTGCACCCAGATAAACTGCTTTAAAGCAGTATCGCTTCTTCTCAGCAAGTAGCTGTAGGTACCAGCCATAATTTCGAGGAGGATACAGATAGCTACATCAGGCCATACATTGTAGGACCGTGAAGATAATCGTTCGGGCTCATCGTCATCATCAACGTTGGCGTTACTGTCAGCTTCGGTGCTGCCGTTGTTAACAGGAATGGTGTTTTGCTGAACGGTAGGATCGACAACAAACACAAAAGTGCCAGCGCGTCTGCCACGTCCACGTCTGCCTCCACGTCCATTTCCACGACCGCGTCTACGACCACGAACGTTGTTGGGGGCATTGTTATTAGCTTCGTTATTGTTCAAAGTAAGGTAAGTGATAAAATGTATTTCACAAATTAAATGGAAAGAAAAATAAAAATAAAAAAACACTGGATTTAAAGAAGTTCGTTATTTTATCATTTCCTTTTCAAGTAAACTGTTTTGAAAACAAGATCACTTTGATCATGTTTTTATTTGATTCCTTATATGTATATGTATTATTTTGCCCAAATTTAGGGCTACATTTCAGAGACTTTTTTCACTATTTTTGTATAAAAAATGGGCTATTTATTTTCGGTTTCCGATCTTGAAGGCACCTAATGTATTTAATGAATTGATGACACAAAGAACTGAAGGTGTTAGAAACTTTACTGGATAAGTAGAAAAAAAAATTATAAAAAAAAAAACTTAATTGTTATTAACTGAAGGATCAACGGCAGGAGGGGAATTGTTAGGAGGGGGAGGGGGAGAAGAAGCAGGACGTGGGAGAAGGGGTAGAAGTGGGCGAAGGAACGGAAGTGGGCGAAGGAGCAGGCGTTGGAGAAGGAGCGGGACGAGGGAGAGAAGAAGCAAACAAATCCACCATGCGGTTTATGGCCAAGCTTGCGTCTCTTTGCCATCCAGAATTTTGACGTCTCAAAACCATTGTATCACGCAAGATACCCCGGTCAAAGACATCTCTATCAATGGTATGGGCATACACACGGTCCATATGTGCCACATCGACAGCCCTACGCTCGTCGGCAATTTCACGGTCTCGTGCTCTTTCCTTTCGGTTTTGGTCTTCCAAAGCCTACAAATGACCAGCCATGAACCATGTCGAGGTATTGACATAACGAGGGCGTTGGCTAGATCTTCTACCTTCTTCTTCTTGATCATCATCAATCAACACCGGCACGACCTCGTCTTCCAGCAGGAAAATTACCTCGGCTATCCACAGTTTCTCCTGAATGGGAACTGTACGAAAAAGGTGGATTCATGGTTGACATTCTTGATGTTACCTGCTCCTTCAAATCGTGAAATTCCTTATATGGAAGAGGAGCTCTTCCAGTAGCATTGGCAGCATCTCTTCTAGTTTGATATGTACTGCAAAGGCTGCTTCTCCTGGTTTTCATGGCTGCAATGTCTCTTCTACCGTTGATGGCGCCATTGGCATTGAAAGCATCCTCTGTTGCTTTGGTCAGACTTAACTTTGCTTGAGGTGTACGAGTAACACCAACTTTTACAATGTACTCAGGGAACAACTCGATCAATACATGTGTGCTCGCAGATCCCAATTGAGATTGGTGTTGACCTGAGGAGAAGGCTCATCAACAGGATTATTCTCAGCAGAAGGAGCAGAAGATGAAGGCTAAGAAGAACCGGCTGAACTAGGTCCAGAAGAAGCGGATGGCATTGATCCAGTTGCAGGAACGGATCCAGTGGCTGCAGAAGACTAGGCAGTGGGAACAGATCCATTAGTAGGAACAGGTCCAAAAGAAGAAGTGGTTTCAGCAGAGGGTTCGTTTGCAGATCCAGATGGTACAGCAGAAGGACCAGCAGAAGGACCGACAGAAGGACCAACAGAAGGACCAACAGAAGGACCAACAGAAGGACCAACAGAAGAACCAACAGAAGGACCAACAGCAGGACCAACAGAAGGACCAACAGAAGGACTAACAGAAGGACCAACAGAAGGACCAACAGAAGGCTCGGTAGAAAGCTCAGTTGAAGGAGTAGACGCAGGAGCAGGAGCAGCAGCAGGAGCAGGAGCAGGAGCAGGTACGTTTACTCTAGGTCTTCCTCTTACAGCAGGAGTGGTAGGGTTGTAGCCATTGACGAAGTTAATGCTGGTGTAGTTATGGAAAGTCATTTTGTTTTTTTTTTAGATAAAATTGGATAATGAAATTGGTGAAGAAAAATGAAGAGGATTACAAAAAAAAAACCTTTTATCAAAAAAAACAACAATAAAAAGAAAACATTTGTGAGTTCAGTAGTCCAATTTGGCTGATTTTTCATCTCATAGAAGGATTCTGGGGTCGTTGGATTTTAATCCTTTATTGGGATATTTCAAAAATTTTGCCACTGAAGAAAATTCGATGTTATTGCTAATCGTCTATATATATCCGTTTAATTTTTTATTCATCTATTTGGCAAAATTGTAACCTTTGACAAAAAAAAATAACTAAAAAAAATAATAAAGTCCTTAATCGGGTTCTTTAAAAAAATAATTTTGTTGCTTGTGAGAGCCCTAAGAATGATTAAGGAATCAATTACCCAGTATAGATAGCTATACTATCATATCACAAGGTTACAAGAAAACATTGACTAATGCTTACTAAAGATATGCAAGTACGATGTGTCTAAGATGACAGTAATGCCACGTGTTGTTACACCACCTTTTTCTTCTTCTGTTGGTCCTTTTTGACCTCAGATGTCTTATTCTTTTTTGACTGCTTTTTGGTTCTTTTCCTATAAAAGGACCATAAAATTATTTAATAAAATCTTTAGTTTGTTCTTTACTATAATCTGATTTAGTCTATTCATATAAGCCTGGTTTCATTATAAATATATATAACTACTATAATTGTACGAAAGCCCTTCTTATAAATCAGCACTGAATAGTCTTAATAGTTGTATTTTACTATACTCCTTCGAAGACACAGATAACTGATTCGTCGTAGCATTTCCCTTTTATATCTTTATATTTTATTTTATCTTAGTTGACGACTTATAGTCTGGTGCTCACTTTTTAAGAACTTTTATCTTAATCTCTACTCTTTCCCTTTATTTCACGTTACCGCTTTTATACTTAAACAAGCCAGTAACAGTGTAACATATTTACAAAATAAGAACTTAAAGGTAACAGGATACACACTGGGAATATGATAACAACTTCAAAGATACACTAACGATAGTGGCACAGCAGATAGTCTTTTTTATATAAATAATTGTTCATTTTATTTCATAATAAAGACAATCTTATAGACAGTCACAAATTACTTATACTGGATTGCCCACCTCATTTTCCAATAAATGATTAAATTTTTTCCAAAGTCAGACGCTAATTTTTCGAAATGTGGTTGATAATTTTTCCAAAAGGCTACAGCTGATTTTTCCAAAAAATGTCTTTATTTTTTCCAAAATTAAATTTTTGTGAATGTTATTATAACATCTTTTCCTTAGCAATTCAACGAGGAAACAAAGATACCGAATGTTTAATCCATCCGCGGCAATCGTTCATTGTTACGTTGGTCACAGACTCCATTATTCTCGGTGTTAAAGGATCACTTGATTCCAAAGGGTTCCTTTTAATACCTGTCTTTACTTTGGACCAAAACTCTTCTATAGGATTTAAAAACGGAGAGTAAGGAGGTAAATAAACGCATTTATATCCTCTATTCTCAATAAGCTCTCGAATTGCAGCTGGCTTATGTATAGGTGCATTATCCATTACAAGATAGTAGCCATGGAGCCCATTTCGGTCCAAGCAATCCATCATGCTGTCTAAATACGTAAGGAAGTGCTCTGACCGCGTGCCCACTCGGCCATTGATCTTCACCTCTCTACCGTCAACCTTTCTTTTCTTAGTGGCAACAGATGATGTAGGTTTTCTAAGTGAAATATCTATAACACCATCAACTGAAATAGCACCAAAAATTGTAACTGATGTACTTCGTGCGGATGGAACGATGGCTTTGGCAGGTGTTCCTCTTTTAGACCATCCTCTGTTGCGAGTGATGTTAACATTGAACCCGGCCTCATCTATAAAAACGCACTTTTTCTGGAAATCCATTTCCTCATCGGCTAGCCATGTTTCTACAGCGAGTTTTCTTTGCTCAATAACATCTATATGGTTTCTCCTGGCAGGAATTTTTTCTAATCTCTTCATTGATAAAGCACAATAAACCCGCATAAATCTGTGGAGAGCAGATCGACTTATGGACAGATTTTCAGTTTCGAAGGTTCTACACAAGGATTCACTAATTTGTTCTAGGACAGCTTTGGGTTTATCGTCGATATAACTGATAATCCATTCGGCATGATGCTGTTTTAATTTGAATAAAGACCCTTTGGCTCCTCTCTTTTTTCTGCGAATAAGTCCATGCTCAGGGTCATTCTTATAAGTTTTCTTATATTTGTAGACTGACCATAATGCAATACCTGTGCTTTCACACGCAGATTTTACACTCTCCCCAGAAGCAATCAAATCAATAAAATGATCAATCTGTTCGTCCGTATACTTTCGGTAAGGTTTTTTCCCCTTCGAATTCAGCTTTAGTTCTGGTTGATTCAGGTGAGTCTCACAAAAATTATTCACTCGGGCTTCAGTCTCGATTGATGTTTCTGTGACAAGTTCTTCGTCGTCTTCCTCGTCTGTTACGATGTCATCAGCGACCAAGCCTAACTCCTCAGCAAGCTCATCGTCACACTCCATGGCCATGACCATGTCATCTTTCTTTAAGTGCTATTCAATTGTTACAGATTAACATAAGCCACCTCACTTGTACGATCCAGCTCCTCATCCAGGGACATGTCGCTCATAAGATTGTCGATGCTCATTCTAGCGTAAACGTTTTTTGGAAAGAATAAAAACACTTTGTGGAAAAATTAACTGTAGCATTTTGGAAAAATTATCAACCACATTTGGAAAAATTAGCGTCTGACTTTGGAAAAAATTTAATCATTTATTGGAAAAGGAGGTGGGAAATCCAGTATACTGCCTTATAATTGTACTTACCTACAAACACAACAAACCCTCTTTGCAACAAGAAAAACCCCCAAAATGACATCAATGACAGCTATTGGTACACGGTGTTACGTGGAGTATCATCACTCGCCTAAAGCGTGGATGACCTCTGAGATCTTCTCGGTTTACATCAAAAAAATTGGATATTGCTTTTGGTCGAGAGGGTAGATAAGTGGCTATTCTTTCAAACAATGCCGCAGTGCATAAGTTGAAGTTTACGCCGGTGAACATGAAGTTGGTGTTTCTTCTTGAAAATACAACGAGTATACTATTGTTAGAAAATATTAGATCAAAATGTAAAAAAAAAATTCGTTCACAAATAAAAAAAAATTCGTTCACAAAGTAAAAAAATTAAGTTTATCTTCGGAAAAAAAATTAGCTTACCACTTAAGTGTATCTATAGTTGACCTGTGATAACAGGCGTGGAAAATTCTAGTTGCGACGTCGACGTACAATTTTAACGTTTGCTTCTTCATTTCTGGTTCTTGCTCTTCTCCGTTGGTTCTGGTAAACCTATACACGTCGAAATCTTGGGCGAATGCCATTTCCAGTCCGAAGTGACCGAAAAATATCAACTATGTTCAAGCAAGGCTCCTTATCAAGATTCCACAGACGAGGAACAATTATATTTGTGTTATCAGTCATAGCTCTACAATTTTGATTTGTACATCTGTCACAGGAACAAAACAAAAATTATTCGATAAACAATTATAAACAAGTAAAATCAGCATACCTTAAGAGGCCATAGCTGATTCCACGAGGATTTTTTCTTCGTCTATGAGGGCGCAGGTTATCGGCCATCCGACACGTTTCAAGACTTTTACGTTCACAAGCTGGGCGGTACTGACTTGCTCTAAATTCATCAATCAAGTACAACCTTTTTCCAGCTTTTTGAAGCAACCGACGGAATCCAAGGCCTCGGACCGCTCATAGAATCCTGTAATAGAAGATGACCAGTTACACATAACATAAACGGCTTCGAGACCAAACTGTTTATCTAGTTTTGAAATAAAATCCTCGTTTCCTTACTGTGTTCATACATAGGCAGATAGCCGCAATGTTCTGTGCAAGGGATGAGTAGTACGATGGTTGGTTCGGAAGTTGACTTAGTGCCTTTGGATGATGCCTGTCGTATTGGACCTGTTTTCAAGATACTGTTCAAATTCATCTCTATTCAAGGAATCATAATTAACCAAAAGCCTATCAGGGGCTCCTACTCTAGCCGGTTCCACTGCTTCACGGATTCTACCGTATTTTTTGATCTTTTCAAACTTGTCTTGGTACTTTTTGGTAAATTGAAACTTGTTCGAATTGTTTGCCGTTGAGTTTTCATGCACGCAGAATAGCAAATCTCTTCGTCCCGGATCAATTGTAACACATCTTCCAACAGTTTCTTGAGCAATCTCTTGTGAAATGTACTGAATTGATTCAACCATAACAGCAAAACGAGCAGTATATCTGCTTTCACGATCCAATCTTTTCTTGATCACAGTTACACCTACTCCATCCGTTTGAATAGTTTCTCTAAACTAAAACTCTCCATTTTCGTGGTGTTTGAGTGCATCCGAGTTTAGGTTAATTACTTCACACCAAAGTGCTATCTTATCTTGACGATTGGTTCACCGACGACCAAGATTATTTTGACAAATTTTTTTTTACTCGATGGTTGTGTAGCAAGGAATCCAAGAACGGCGTAATGGGAAGCAATTTAACACAGGTAATTCTATATCAATAAATGATAAAGCTAGTTCGTAAAAAGTCCGCATATGTTCAACTGGTCCTGCTTTGGAATCGCAACAAATGCTATTCACACGAAATCGGTAGTCAACGGGATAACTGGTAAGGACAGCGCGAAGAATTTCAAGAGCGTTATTGTAGATAGGGTCCCCGAACTGCTCTCCGTCCAATACAAAATCTTGAGGTAACCTTCTAGCTTTAAGTTTCTCAAATCTTGTCGCCGGCTCAGTTATTTCTCTGTATACTTCAGATTTTATCAGTGCATCATTTAATCTTTTAAGTCTTCTATAAGCAATTAATTCGGCTTTTCTTTGTCGAATACGAAGTAGATGATTGACAGCTTGTCCAAGATGACTTCCCAAACGCATCTGAAAATTGTTGCTATAAGATGTAAAGATCTTTGCTCCTTCGATTAAATATGCTTGCTGACCATAGCGGAAATCTGGTAGAACAAAACCAGTGACCTCCAAATAGTCATCAGGATAAGGCTGCTCACATCAAACAAAATATATTGAAATCTTAAATAGGAGATGTACTAATATGGACAAGCGCCGTTTTTTTTAAAAATGTATTTTTTGAAGGTCAACCTTTTTCCAAAACTGGTTTTTTAAAAAAATATAAAAATAATAATAAATATTATCCTGGAACTAGTGCAATTCGATTGTACTAAAATATCGGCAAGATGTTTTTTCGTTTGTTCCTGTTTTGCCTGTTCTTTTGTCCTTTTCTCTGTTTCAATTTAATTTCTCAATGAATTCTCAAACTCGCCAACAAATTTTTCTCCTCTTCGAAATGTAAAGACAACGACAAGCTGTTTTTTATGCATTTAGTGATAGCATTGCTACCGAGAACCAAGAAATTGTAGACTTGTTGCACCTTACTGTCAGTAACGTGCATTTGCTTAGGGAACAGCAATTACAGTACGACTTTTCTGCTGCCGATTTCTCGAGTGAATTTGGAATAGTTATGACTTCCTTGCCTTTGTTTATGACCGTGGCAATTATAACCAGAACGCGAACTGTCGGTGTGGGTGCCACAAGAGTGTCTGAAAGATACACTTTTTGGGAGGTACAACATCCGAACCTCAACGACGACGACAAACACCTAGTAGATAGCTTCTGTGCCACATATCAAATGGGAAAAGACTCTTTCAATTGGCTTGTCAACAGGTTGTCTACTAATCCCGAATTTGATTTTAAGACACCTAACCACGCTCCTATCTACATTCAGATAGGTACCTGTCTTTTGAGCCTGGCCAATTGTCATCTTTGATATAGAAACATGTATGTCCTGTATGGTGTTTCGTATGGCAGCTATACCAATTTCACGAGGCCTAACGTGAAGGCCATGAAGGATGTGCTTAGCTATATGATTGATTGGCCTACCAATTCAGCCATGGTGAGTGCTATATCTGCTGGATTCCACAAAGGTTCTGGTGTGAGTATTCGTGATGCAACTGGTGCTATTCATGGCAAAAACTTTACCATTCATAAGTCAACTCCAGCCGCTTATGGAGCAGGGTTCCGTGACATAAAAAACAATTACACCATTAAACTTACCGCTGTTTGTGACGACACTGGAATGTTTACTTAAATTCGCGTAGGAGACTCTGGTAAATGACCAATATAAATATGAGAGTTGGAAACTAATTTACTTTGAATACACTAGGCAGAGGTCACGATGCCTCAGCCTATAATTCCAGTGATATCAGCTGCAAGGTCATAACAATCCTGGGCATTACTACCCTAAAGGATTTTATTTTCTACGTGATTCTGCATATCCGACCATTGTCAATTTGGTTATACCATTCCCTGAAAGTGAATGTCTCCGGGGTCCGCGCAAGAGGTTATTCAACTATTCGCTTTCAACCAGAAGAATGGCCATTGAAAGAACTTTTGGTAAGTTCGTTCATCGGCGGAGATTCACACAATTCCATATTTACGTGTATGATAATTTGGATATCAATAATATCCTCGGGTCGTGTGCTATTCCACACAATGCATGTAAGGCAAGAGGGGAGATAGGTTTCGATGGTGTGGTTCTTGAGCCTGCTGGTCTTGTAGCTGGAGAGCAGGGTGATATATGTGTTATCTGTAACAGTGCCCGCTTGCGCATCTTTAATGCAGCTTTTCCTTAAATTTGCTAAGAACTAAATTTTTTAAAACAATACAACTTTATTTTTGAAAAAAAGCCAAATATATTTTAGTCGTTGTTTTGAGGTTTATGTTAATCGGACGAATGTTAAGTGATTTCAAGCACGTCTGACAGAACAGGAGAAACCGTCTGACACTGCCATCAATCGCCATGCGACTGGCAAAGGGGATGGAGGCAGTGTTTTTGGGCAAGGTGTTATTGGGAAAGGTGTTCTTGCAGAAGGTGTTTTTTGGGAGGGTGCTGTTAAGGACGGTGTTGCTGGTGATGGTGTTGTTGGCGTCGGTGTTTGTTGTAGGCGCTGTTGCTGCTGGCAGAAGGACTGTCGAACTGATAGTCATAGGCTTTAGGAATACCATTGACATCAGGGCGGAAGTAGTGGCTGGTGTTGTTGGTGTAATTGTAGTCACCGTTCTCAAACGCATTGTAGCTGATGGCGTTGTTGTTGCTTGAGCGAAAATCCCATTTATTACCATCAGCATCTGGCGCTAGATATCCAGACTGGCCTGCATCTACTCAGCAATGCGAGACTGCACCTGGTCCCGTTTCTCCATGGACTCCAACATCAGACCGAAAAACGTTGTCGAACGAGCAAGGTATCTAGTGAACTTTCTACGCTCCGGCTCTCCATGCTCAAAACGACATGCCTCAATCTCATTCATAGAGTTGACCAGATGCTCGATCATTTGGTTGACCGCTCTACTTTAACTAGCAGACCCAAGAGCCAAACCCTTCTCAGCACCATAGTTTTTGACCGCTATTACTCTTCTAGCACCGCAACTTCACCACGATTATCTATCGTCTCTCCAGAAAGAGAGGTATTCACAGTAGTTGGCCTCACGGTGTGCATGTCACTGGTGGGGTTCTCCATCGCATCATGGTAAACCCAGTTTTCAATCGGTGCCGTACCAGTTGAATTCAACGTATCATTGCGATGTCTGAAAGCAGCACAGGGAGCAGACCACTTAGACTTCAATGGACTCAAAGGTATGTTTCCATCGGTGCTGTTGCTGCTCTTGAATAAGCGCAACATGCATTGAACAATTCATTTGGTCTAGCTAGCGTACAATTGGACTCCATCCGCTTGTTGTAATCAGCATACAATTCAATAAGCGCAAAGGTGCTAGCTAAATTCCATTTCGAGGGCGTGTATCTGGTATCCGAACCTTAATAGTGGCATCAGCATCTGTGGCATCAGCAGTGGCAGTAGCAGGTGCAGCAGGAGAAACGGCGGTAGCAGCAGGAACGACGACAGGAACGTCCTGTTCTTTTGAAACAGTAGTAGCATGCGAAGGTTGCTACCATAGGCTACACCACTTGGTGTCACTTAAATAAATTGGTGATTGATAGGGTTGTTGTTGTTGTTCTGATTATTCATTTTAGAAGAATTAAGGAAAGGAAATAGTAATAGAATTTTATTAGGTATTTTAGCATTTTAGTAGTTCATTTTAGAACCCTTTATTTCTGGAGGCTTCACATTCGATGCCCAAAGATTTTTCATTTTGAAGCAGTAGATTAATAATAAAAAAATATCGCAGCATTATTTTTGACAGAATTCAATTTGGGAAAAAAATATTGATAGAAAAACATTTTAAAAAAAAAAAAAAAAAAACGGAGCTTGTCCATATCAGAACATCTCCTATTTAAGATATCAATATATTTTGTTTCATGTCAGCAGACTAAATTATAAAAATCTGAAAATTGTGGTCCGTTATCCATCAAGATCCAATAGGTTTGCGTACTCTGGTCCGTTATCCCTCAAACTCCGTTGATTTCAGCGTACTCCGGTCCATTATCCCTGAAAATCCGTTGACTTCAGGGTACCCCGGACCGTTATCCCTACAAATCCGATACTTAAGGGTTCCCTGATTACACTAAACTAATGACCAAAATAGATTTTAAGAAATTAGAAACGGTACCGAAATGGTTCAAGCATTCTAAAGTGATATAAGAACTATCTAAGCTAATTTGACATATAAGGTAAGTCGCAAATCATATCCGAACATCCTTAAACGTGCGTTGGATTTCAAAAACGTAAATACAGCGCCCTCCAAAGTATCGTAATCGTTTAAAGTTTTCGTATTTTGTGTAATGACATCACATACTGATTCATAGGGAGACTTTCCAAACATTTTTATTTTTCTGTTTGTTGTTATTATTAAGTTATGGATCCGGTTTACAGCGCTTCATAGGAGTATACACAACGAGTTGAAAACTTTAAATATTTCTTAAATTCTGCACCAAAAAGTAAATTCCCGTGTCAGAATTGTTTTTAAAAAAAATAAAACTTTGCGATTGGGCGAAAAAACAAAATACGTGATCGAAGGCCAGATGTTACGAAATAGGGGTATTCAATATTGAAAATAAAATAAAATTAAATAAAAAAATAAAAAAGAACCAATAGAATGTCCCAGATTTTTTAATTTTTTATTTAATTTAAGAGGTTCGTTTTTGCATCCGATTAAATTAAAATCACCTCATGCAGGATAAATGCAAAAGTTTTCGACGAATTTTGGTGCAACGGTAATATGTATACAACACGTTCTTCTGTCTTACTTTTGCTCTTTATCTTTACTCTTTATCTTTTTCTTTACCTTTTAAAAATGCCCAGATATTCATTAAAAGCCAAATATGAAAAATATTTGGAAGGGGTAGCAATTACTTCAGAAAGAAAAATCAAATCATTACAAGAACTTTTTGAAACATTGTCCACTGCAAAAGAGGAAGAGGACGATTGTGATAGTGAAGTCGAATTTTATGCTGATGTTGCCACGTATCTAAAGTCCAAACTATCTAATGGTGTCGAAGCTAGACTCAAATACAACAAGACACAAAAACAAAGATACTTGTTCAAAAGACAACATAACAGACCCAAGCTTGTTACAGGAAAGAGACGATTGCAGTTTTTGGAGGAGTTAAATGATAACGAATTCAAAGAAGAATTAAGAATGAGTAAAGTATCTTTCCAAAAATTGATTGACATGATCAAAACGCATCCTTTATACAAACGTAAGGACGGAAGAAATCAAACCGATATCAAGTTACAAGTAGCTGTTGTCTTGGAGAGACTTGGAAGCAATGGTAATGGTGCAGGACAAAGTCGTTTGGCTAGACGATGTGGTGTTGGAGGTAATAAATTTAGTTTAATATTTTATAAATGTCACTAACCTTAAACCAAACTTTTATAGTTGGAAGTATCAAAAACTTTACTGCCCGTTTCTTCGAGGTCATGATGTCCTTTGAAAAGCAATTTATATACTGGCCCAATGAAATTGAAAAGAAAGAGATTAAAAATGCAAATGAAAAGCGCTTTGGGTTTCCGGACTTACTTGGATTTATTGATGGTTCGACAATTGATCTTGCATGTGCACCATCCTGGCGTAGAAAGGATGAGTATTATGGGAGGAAATCAACCTATTGCATGAATACAGTTGCAATCTGTGACCACAATCGAAAGATTCGCTACTTTGGTTGTGGGTGGTTTGGAAACTCGCACGACATGAAAGTGTTGAAGCAAAGCCATCTCTTTAAAAACATAGATGACTTTTTCAAAGGAGATGAGTACGTTCTTGGGGATGGTGGGTACAAAGCCTACAAATTTTTGGTACCTATCCATAAGAAACCTCGTGGTGAGCACATGCCAGCAGACGATGAAAAGTTCAATAAGTACATTGCAATGATGCGTATCAAGATCGAGCATGCTTTTGGGATTTTGAAAGAACGATTTTATTCGTTAAAATCACTTCCCATTCGAATCAATGACCGAGCTGATAATCAGTTCGTAAACGTATGGATTAATGTCTGTATCATCTTGAACAACTTTCTTCTTGAACAAACAGATGACGAAGATATTATTTTTACGAAGCAATTATGGGACAAAAAAGAAGAGGAAGCGTTAGCCATGTTGAGTCAAAAATCAAAAAAGGTGTTCAAAGGTCGTAAGGAACAACAGGAGGAAGATAATGTTGAGGAAGACAGTTCCGAAGAAGATAGTGAAGAGGAAGAAGATGCAAGGGCTAAAGAAGATCTGCATATCGGCAAAGAAAAGTATCAAAAGATCAAAGAAATCGTTCTTAAGTTTAACAACAAATCTCACCTTCTTTCTAATAACAATTAATAAAAACATCTTATATGTAATATACATGGTTTATTTTAATAAAAGTTATATTCCAAGTTGAGGTTATCCAACATGGTCTCACCCTCCTCCTTGCTCAATTTGAAAGTATTGATCCTTGTGATGGCATTTTGATACCTGCCCATGTACTCTGCGAATCTCATCTTTTTAGCCGCAGCTTCTCGTTGAACCTCAACGAAACCCGAAACATCTAACTCCTTTGTTTCGAGCGGGAAATCCTCTTCAAACTTCAAAGCCCTCTTTCTTTTTCCACTGGCCTTGGGAACTTTGAGTTTTGTAGCCTTAGAAGAGGGCGAAGGAGAATTGGCTGAATCTTCGTCGGTCAACAGATCAACATGCTGTTCAGAGTTTTCATCCTCTGAATTAATCTCCTCTGGCTTTTTCCAGCTGAAAGGTTCACTTCCAGGCACACCCGTTTCCATGGGCAAAGCAGGATCTGTTCGTCTTGACCCCATGAAAGATCTCAAAAGATGGAAGTGGGCACAGACTTTATTCAAAGCAACTTGAATTTATTTTAGAATACATCACACTATTATTACAAATAAATATAATACAATACCTTCAAAAGATGGATTTTCTTCGGTGGCACCTTCTCCACTTTGTTTCCACATCATGTAAGCCTCGCTATACTGCGTCAAGACAAGCTTATTCATTCGGTCTAAAATTTGAGCCTTTGTACGTTTGGAAGCACCAACCGAGTCAAAGTATTCCTTGGCTTTGCCAGCAACCGTGTCTCTTTTATCTCCAGAAACCGATTCTGCATTGTTGTCACATCCAAGGAAGGCAAACAACATGGTGGCACCATCTTCTGTCAAAAAGTGCACCAGTCTTCCAATGGATGTCATACCATCTCTACCGCCATCTTTCAATTTCCAAGCCTTTCTGGTCTGTTTTTTTGTCGTGACCGCAACAGATTCGGATGGATTGATGCTAGCAGGTTCTGTGGTAATAGTTCTAGTCATTTTTGAAGATTGTAAAATTGATATAAAGAGGAATGAAAAGTGAAATCGTTTGTGCCTGTATTTTTATTTAATTTAATTTTATCAATTTCCTTAAATGGGGGATTCAATAACAAATCGACCTCATTGGACCATTTTTTTTATTTTTTTATTTAATTTTATTTTATTTTCAATATTGAATACCCCTAATAAACAACTGTATCAAGGTTTTGTGCACCTTGAAAACTACTTTAGCGTCTTGTATGGGGGTCAGGATAGCGATTCGTGCAGCTAAGCATTTTTATTGGATAACAAAATGGAAGAGACTTTTACTTTTTTTTAAAAAAATGACATGTAAAAAAAAACAAAATGATTACTTTCTTTCATTTTCTAAAATTTTGAAATAACGATTAGTGTTATGCAGCCACCAGAAAGTACCGAACTTGCACTTGTTGCTAAGAGAATACTTGACAGTGTCAATCTCCGTTTCCTGAGACATGTTAAGCAATTCCACCATAGTCAGTTTATACTTCGGCAAGTCCAAGATTTCTTCAGTTTTCTTGGTGAGGAGATTACCACCTAAGTCAGCTTGATAGACGGAAATGAGGCTACTGTCATCGTGAATCCCGAAGGCTGGCCTGGGAACAAGTTCATACAACTCAACAATAGCCTGATCGCCGCGAAGTTTTACGACCTTTTCAAGCAGACGACGCGCCCCAAGAGAATCCAAGTCAACATCGAGAATAGCCATCATGTTCAAAGCAATTTTCTTTCGAGGAATATATTCAGTACTGCCGAATTCCCGATTAGCAGAATAGTACATGTCCTCACTGTACCTATCGAACAACGCTTTGACCAGACTACCACGAGTTTTCATACCGTTATCCCAAACAAGACCCATCGCAATACTTCTCAGCATTACCTCACGACCGTTAATAAGAGCCAAATCACGAGAAGGTTTTGTTTGTTGGTCTTCATGACAATTGCCCTAATGCGTTTGTTGAATTGCTCGTTCTTTTCAGTTGCGAGAAGCACAGGAGAAGCAAATGGAAGACAATCCTCTACCAAATGGACTATCAAATGAGTCTTTAAACGATTACATAATGGACCACCAGTTTTGGCGTATAGAATCGTTGCACCATTACATTGTTCACCAGAAAGACCATAGATCTCTTCAAACGTAAGTCTGACTGGGCACTGATGCAGTTGTCCTTGCTGTTGCTGGCTCTCCACGAGTACGTCGGTTACTGGGAAGAATGGTACGATCAAGGTTATCCAGAGCAATAACAGTATCATCAACGCATTGACGCAATAAATCGAGATAGGCAGAAACGTTGGTATGTATTTCACAGTTATAACACAATGAGTAAAGCTCACCAAGCTTGTCCAAAGTACTAATAACGTTATCCATTCGGTGGAATTGATCATTACGAAGGTTGAGGAAATCAATGTGATCACGAGCAACTCTGAGAACAATTGGGAGCATCTGAATCATAAGTTTGAAGTCTCTTCCAAGAAAGCTTTTATATCCTTTGAGATGCGTCGACAAATTGGTAAAAGCCTTAGACCGATACTATGCACACAAATAACTAATGCGATCAACCTGCTTCTTGTTGAAAAAGCAATCAGCCGCTTTGTTGAACGTGTATTTGATTAAACCGAGAAATAGGCCATGCAGAATTTCTACCGGTGTGTCCTTGCTAGGATCTCAAGAAGACAACGTCAAAATCCTTTTGCCAGCAGTTTCCTCGAAGCCGAGGTCCATCAAGTTTTCGACCATGATATAATCACCCTGTCTGTTACGAACACGTATCGAGGAATCCGTACTATCCGAGTCATCGTTTGGAACTGACATGTGTTCTTCGGCCGTGGTAATTCTATTAGGATCAAAAGCATCAGCATGTCGACACCAGAAGCATTTTCTACACGGATAAGTAGCTGTTGAAGCTTTCAAACAAGAAACCTCGGCAAGAGAAGGATTGTCAGCCTTGATAAACAAAAGAGGAGCAACAACAAAGACTTCTTCCTTGAAAATAGCATCAAACATCGGCAGACCAGTTTCCAGTTTCTTCAAATCGGGGACAAGGGAAGGCAACTGTTCCATAGCAGTATGACAATTTGATCCATATATAAAAAATTGATTCAAATAATGATTGGCAACCCTAAGAGGAACAGCGGCGGGATTCATCGATCACGAATAGAAACAATTCCATTTTGATATGGAATTACCACTGGTATCATCAGAGAAAAGGTTGTACGGAATTACTCTAACGACCTGGTAGTTTGGCGAATTGGGATTTATGCATTTTATACGTGATCTAATGGGCAGCGGAAGCTTGTACTTATTATCAGTATCAATCATGTCCTGGTAAGCGCAAATCAATCAAGTATTAGCAACAACATCTCTAGAACAATGATAATCGTCACCATTTATATGTTGTAAGCTGGTAAATGCATCGAAGGATTCATGTTCGGCACGAAACACATTATTGATGTCAAGGTCAGTTAAGGGATAGTTAAGAAGGATGTCGTATAAACAGCACATTTCAAGATTATTATCGGATTTAATTGGATACAAATCAACGTTCACAACTTTTGATATTTGGAATATCTTGGCCACTTTAAAATAATGGCGATCTTGAAGAGGAATATTGCTCTCAGACAGCAAAGAGACTTTATCCGATACCCAGAGTTGAAGATTTCGACCAGTAATTATCATGGGACGCTCAAACAATCTATCACAACTCCACTTTTCACCTTGATTGAGCTTGATTCGTTGTTTGGGTGTTCGATCAGGAAGATCTGACAGGAAACCAGACATACAGGGATTACCTACGAGAAGTCGCAAGTGTTCAGATACATCATTGAGAAACAAGTCAGGCTTTGATGCGACAACAACAGGATCAGCGGGTGTAGAAGCAGTTGTATTTGTTGTTGCAGCAGGATCAGTGGCAGAAGGAGAGGTAGAGGCAGGGGAAGAGGTAGAGGCAGGAGCAGGAGCAGAGGCGTCAGCTGCGGTAGCAGTAACAGATGTGCTAGTTGATGTGGCAGGTTCAGTAGGTTCGACAAGAAGTCCGCCGTTATCATCTTTCGCACAACGGGGAGCATGAGGAAAACAAGGTATACAACTTTTCTTGGATTTGTGAAATCTGGAAACGTTGTGGGGAGTGGGATAACCACAGAAATCATAAATAACATCAGAAGGATCCAAAGCTAGTTGAGCTCTGTACTTTTTGATTGCAATTTCAGCCATATATTTACCAAAATCAAGAACTGATTTGATTTGGACTTCTGAATACTTAAAGCTACCAGACTTGAAGAAAAGAAGGGCATGCATTATTTATTCATTTTTGAAAGAATATGCTGGATTGTCGTTGACATCACCACTCAAATCAAGATATTCATCATTACCATCATCTCCACCACCACCACCATCAATATCAGGGCCGTTGTTGACCTCGTTAACAGGAACGGGAGGTTTATTAGATTCGCTATTATCATCAGATTCCCCTCCGTTGTTAAAATCATTGTTGAAATGGTCAAAGGCATTACGACCATCGAATTCTTCTTCACCATCATCACGCCCATCATCAGCACCGTCACCATCATAATCATCTTATTGATTTTCATCAAATTTATTTGCTGGTTCAGACAACGGTTCGGCAGTGCGTTCAGGTTGGATTAGTCTAATGTATATTGATGTAAGTAATTTGAACATATTTAACAGCCTTAAATAACTTTACCTTTCAATGGACTTCATATCAGAACTACGAGATTCGCTTAGCGGGATAGTAGGTTGTTCGTCAAAAGTATTCCTAAAACTAATAATGATAAGTACAAACTGACTATTTTTAAATTGATGAAGACGCTCACTTACTGTTGTTGGATGTCATTGGTAGGTAGTGGTCCTTGATTGGACTGAATCGCCTCCAGAAGTTCTAAGTGGTGTCCTGATCTTTGATGCAATTTAAAAGAGTGTCGATTAATTGTACTGTATTTACAGAACACACACGTTTGCTCCTGAGGCGGTAAAGCAGGTTTTGCACGGAAATTATTTGTTCCAGGTGTTTTTTTCATAGTGTTTTAAAATTAATGTAAGTTGTTTATAATAAAATAAAGAATTTTGATAAAGTGCACTCTAGGGATTGTGTTTGGTTTATATATCGTTCAGATCAAAAAATGTGTTTAATGCTTAGCTTATGCGGACATAAGCTGTCAATTTGATTGGTGCAATAATTTACAAACGTCATTGCGGAACGATATTTTGTCACGCGACCCAACTTTCTTAGGTCGCTTTTCTTTCTCTTACGTATTTGTTTTTAACCGTGGCGTGTCTTCACAAACGCGTGATTATTGCTTGTAATATTATGATGGTTATGAACAATGGTATGTCATAGAACATCTGTCTTAACAATACTATCATAAGGCATTCTACTAATTCTTCTCTCACAATCAATTTAATCAAACTTAAACGCGAAAAAGGTAGCTATTTCAGGACTTATGCAATAATATAATCTTCTATCCCCTTGTACTTTCAGGATGTGTATCTATAAAGGTATACTTTATTCTGTACTGTGCTTCCCTGTAATAATATATCATTAACAAACACCTTTTTATTTTTTTAGAGTCTCTTTTCTTTTTGAAATACCGTAATTAATATCTTGGTGATTATTTTACATCCTAAAATAATACATAACGCGTTTCATTTGTCATAAGATATATCGCGTAAAGCTTCCTACAAGGTACTATAATTTTAATATTAATCATTATCCGTTTTACAAACCACATTATTCACTTTATAAATTAGCTCGTGATACTGCTTAAGCACGGATAAAATGTAAGTACAACATCTACCACAGACACTTGAATATCACATTAATACCTTTTTCCGTAGCTTCAGCTCAAACAGAATCAGTTTTGCGTGAGTTTTCTAGCTTGAATTCACTGTCTGCTATACGTGTCATACGTGGCCTGTCTGGGCTACGTGGTCTGCCCTGTCTGTCAAGGCTGAATAGCCTGCCTGGTTGGCCTGCGTAGCCCCGAGGGGCAAACAGGCGCTTTTTGCCGGTTTCTGATTTTGTGGGCCAATTTTTTATATAAATAAATTTCCCTTTTTAAGGCAATTTTAAAAAAAAAAACTATTTTCGTATTTTGTATTTGTATTTTATTGTTTTGTTTGTACAGCAAGGAAACGTAAACAAAACCTCAAAACCAAAAAGGAAACACTTTTCATATCTATTTTTACTTTTTTTTTTTGGGAAAAAAATGGTCTTGAAATTTTAAAGCTTACACTATTTTCATAAATTATTCGCACAGTATAAGAAAAAAATTGCTCATTTTTTTTTCAATTTCCGCACACATTTTTTTTATTTTTTGCTCACTTTCGAATTTAATTTTTGCTCACTTTCTGAAAAATTTTTTGCTCATTTTCAGATATTTTTTTTTGCTCAATGTGTGCGAAATATTTTAGAGGGGGTCTTTATTTAAATAGTTTTCGAATTTTGTTTCTGAATAACGGCAGAATCCCTTTAAATCGCTTTATAAAACATTCTGACATGCTTCGGCAATTCTATTGTTCAGTGTTTCGGCCTCTAGAAGCTTCTCCCGTTTTAATTTACTCTTAACAACGGACCAAAATTGTTCGATAGGGTTGAGCTCAGGAGAATATGGTGGAAGATAAACACAGCCATACCCACGACTTTCGATAAACTTTCTAATATTATCTGACGTATTGATAGGCGCATTATCCATGATAAGATAATGCCCTTTGAATTCCTCATGACGATCCATCACATCAATTGTACTGGCGATAAAATTAAAATAATGTCCGGTAACAGTCCCAGTGGTTTTCTGCATCTTACTACCACCAGCTGTTTTTCTTTTCTTTGAAACCGTTGAGTATGGCACTCTTATCTTGACATTGACAACGCCATATGGCGATATAGCACCCAAAATTGTTGTTGTCTTGGCTCTTGTTAGTGGTTGAATAACCTCAGCCCGAACTCCCTTTTTTGACCAAGCCATTGTTCTTTTCAAATTAATATGGAATGCAGACTCATCAATGAAAACGCAATTACTGCTGTAATCCATGTCTGTTTGGCTCCATCTAGTTACCCAATCAAACCTCTTTTCAATGTTAATAGACGAGTTTCTTTCTTTCGAATGGAAGTGTGCTTTCTTAAAAGACAAGGCACATTTATCTGTCATGAAATTATAAACGGTAGTTTTTGTTACTTTCAGGTCGCTGAACCGACTAGTAAGACTTTCCATAGCCTGATCCAACGTTGCCGAAGGGTGGTCGATAAATGTTTCTTCCAAATGCTTTTTGTGCTCTTCATTCAACAAAGCTGGTCTCCCAGCCTTTTTCTCAGGCTTAACTGGTTCTAATTCATCCAAAGGCTTTGCTGTTTCATAGATCTGATCCTGATCTTTTTTCAACCAGTCATAAGCAGTTCGTCGGGCAACACCGAGTTGCTTTGCTGCTTTTCCTGCAGTTAACCCTTCTTCATAAACGAGATGAAAAAAATGACCTTTAACATCGTCTGCATGCTTTTTATAATAAGCTGCTGGTCCAGTTGAAGCCGAAGAACGGTTTTTTGGCGCTTTAGGTGTTGGCTTTGGCTTTTCAGGTAGTTTGAAATCCATGTAATTATCAAAGTCAACGGTGTCAGCGAGAGGATAAGCATCGGCATCAACATCCATTTCAACGGGTTCATTGCCATGCTCATCCACAACATTACCCTGTCCATCTTCTTGATAAAATTTGAGGTCCATCTTACTTCAATGAATTTCTAAGAATGAGCAAAATTTATTATTGAAAGTGAGCAATTTGTTTTTAAAAAAGTGAGCAAAAAATAATTTGTGAAGTGGGCAAAAAATAAATAAAAAAGTGTGCGGAAATTGAAAAAAAGTGAGCAATTTTTTTACTCAAGTGTGCGAATAATTTATGAAAATAGTGTACACCTGGTTGTGTAAGGAAACAGTAATAAAAATTTTATTTTGTATTTTGGCATTTTTGTAGTGCATTTTGGACCGTTTATTTCTGGAGGCTTCACATTCCATGCCCACAAATTTGTCATTTTTAAGCGGTAGATTAATAATAAAAAAAATGACAACATTATTTTTGACAGAATTCAATTTAGGAAAAAAATATTGACAAAAAAACATTTTTAAAAAAAAAAACGGAGCTTGTCTATATTAGTACATCTCCTATTTAAGATCTCAATATATTTTGTTTCATGTCAGCAGCCTAAATCATACAAATCTGAGAATTCTGGTCCGTTATCCGTGAAGATCCAATAGGTTTGGGTACTCTGGTCCGTTATCCCTCAAAATCCGTTGGTTTCAGTGTACTCCGGTCCGTTATCCCTTAAAATCCGTTGACTTTAGGGTACTCCCGTCCGTTATCCCTCAAAATCCGTTGACTTCAGGGCACTCCGGTCCGTTATCCCCGAAAATCCGTTGAATTCAGGGTACTCCGGTCCGTTATCCCTACAGATCCGATACTTAAGGGTTTCCTGATTACATTAAACTAATGACCAAAATAGATTATAAGAAATTAGAACTGTTCCGAAATGGTTCAAGCATTCTAAACTAGTATGGGGATGATCTGAGTCAACTTCACATATAAGGTAAGTCGCAAATCATATCAGAACATACTTAAACGTGAGTTCAATTTCAAAAACGGATATACAGCGCCATCCAATTTATCGTAAGCGTTTGAAGTTTTCGTATTTTGTAATGACATCACATACTGATATCATAGGGACACTTTGCGATCATTTTTAATTTATTGTCTTTTGTTATTATTAAGTTATTGATCCGGTTAAAAGCTCGTCATAAAAAATGTATAAGTTATTATCTTTTATATAAGAAGTGAAACCATTTTTTCCATAACCCTTAATGAAACATTTTTGAGTCTACAGCATATTTCTTTAGTCCAATACTGCTTTAATGTCATCAGTTTTTTGGAAACTGGTCTAGTATTGGTGTATTTAGCAACCCCGGACAAAACTAGGATCGACAAATGTAAGAAACTATCCGACGTAAACACATGAGCTCTTTTAAATGGTTCTACTCTTGTCCCAAAGAACGGTGATACCTTTGGCTTATTTACGTTTTAGTGTTATACACTAGGTGCACTGCAATATTCTTGCCTCTGAAAGCCCAGCATTGCCGGACATAGCAACCCCGAATGAAAGTTAAAACTACGTAAAGTTATATCGAATGCCTTCGTGACTTGCTTATGGCATATTTTTGGGCAAAGCTGATTATTCGGTTTTATGACTTTTATGGGTCCGACGTTATATGAATAGAGTGTAATGTTAGACTCATCGTTTAGATATACGTTTACTAACGTGTAATAATCCAGTTTGAAGGATAATCGACACAAACATTTGTGAGCAACGACAATTTTTTCTATAGAGCGTTATAAGAATTAATAAATAAATTCCAGTTAATGAGCGTTCCATAGCCGCACGGTAACCTTTGGCGCGAAGGATGAGATTCTATCTCCCTGTATTAGGAGCGAAATATCAGCTTGACACCGGAATATTTGAGTGGATGACCCTATTTTGGGGATATTTATCAAATTGCGTAAAATAGTTCGCTTGTTTTGATTTCTCATTAATTTACAATTGGCGAATTGTCAAGAGCTGAAAGGCAGACAGGAAAGACAGAAGAATACTTGCTTCCGAAAACAGAGTTGTCCATCAAATGAAATTTAACATTTTTACGAAAATACGGCTAAAACTAGTACAAAAATGATATAATCAGTTTTGACCACATAACTAATACGTTCATGTTATAAATTACCAAGAATCAAGTGATGCAGTGTATAGAATATATTATAAGTAGGAGTCACTTGAAATTAACTTGCTACTTCCATATTTTTTTGGATGGAAAATGGGAAGACGTGCTTAAATACTAGCAAGTACGGAAGAAGTTATTACAAATATCACCAATTCGTATGGTAGATATTTTTTTGCTAACAACCAGTACTGATAAATAATTGGAATAGTTTTAGCATGATAAAAGAAATATCTCCACTGGATATGGGTTAAACAGCTACGGAATTGCCACCGTATTTACTTTAGAATTTTTTAAATACATACAAAATCCGACAATATAACCAAAAAATATTTTCTTCGACACTTGTAAAGGACTGACGCCATTTAAACAGTTTAGAAAAAACTTTCACGTTCATGGAGTAAATACGAAAACAAAATAACAAGTACCCGTCAACAGCAAAAAGATACTTTAGTAAAAGTATAATTCACATAAAAGTAAAAACA